GGGGGAAGAGGGTTTCAAAAATCCCTTGTGCCCCGCCTGGAATTTCTTCATGCCCCCCAGCTTGGGAACCCGGACTTTAGACTTTAATCATATTCCCCAGGGAACAAACCCTTCCCCACTTGCCAGTGGACCAGCCTGTTTTCCCCAGTCAGGAAGCTGGTGCCTTTGTTTGAGGCACTTGCTGGGCAGCCTGTGACAACTGCCCAGCAGGCGTCAGCCTTCGGAGCGAGACACCTCGGAGCCGCAGAGCCAGTTACCAATCTCCCCAACTGCAGCCCAGCACAGGCCCCTCCCGTTCAGCCAGCCAGGCGGCCTGGAACGTTTGCGCCGATTTCAGCGTGTTGCTGCCTGTCACCGCAGCGGAGCGTCTGGCACTTGGCTGCGCACTTCCCCGGGCTGCACCGTCGCCGGCCTTTGCCCGAGCCCCTGCGCCACAGGCCACTTGTCAAGTTGCTGTCGCGTTCGGCGCCGCCTCTTCGTCATTTGGGTTTCGTTTCCGTCGGTCTCTGGGCCCAGTCGCAGGGGCCCTCAGCAGGGTGGGCTGTGCCCCCAAGGCCTCGTCCCCGACGGCAGCCCCTCCTCAGCCCCAGGGCTGCTGTGCTCTCGGGGGCTCTGCCCTGGGCGCTACGACCAGCCCTCTCGGCGCGGAGCCGGGGTTCTTGAGCATCCTCCGAGTGTCAACTCCCGTGGGCACTGGCAGCTCTGGTCTTTCCCTGGCCCCAGGGCTGAGGGGCAGACGCTGCAGTGTCTGGAGGAACTGAGGAACTGACGGCAGATATTCCTCGGGCTGCATCTTCCAAAAGGCCACAAGTAGCAAAACCTCTTCCTCCTTTCCTGGTGCACCTTTCAGTCCCACCCTCTGCCCCTCCCCGAGAACGCAGGCGCACGGCCGGTTGTCCCGGGAGGAGAGGCCCTTTGCCTCGCCAGTCATCGAGCAGGTGAGCAGAGTCGGACTCGGGTCTTCCCACAACTTTCCTCCTCCTCCACTGTCTGAGCTAAAGGGGACATAGCCACCAGGCCAATTCCACTTCCTTTGGCTTTCCCCGTCGTCGTCCCCGCCTGTGCGCTAGCCGTGCTCCCCAGGACCAGGTATCTGCGGCTCCGGGCATCGTCTCCAAAGAGTCCCGCTGCTTCCCATGGCGCTCACACCAGCCAGCCCCGCCGGAGGCTCTGCTTCCCACATCCCCCCCAGCCCACTGGTCTCCCTGCACTGCCTCCACCGGGGCGCCAAGCCTGAGCGCAGCCCTCCTCTGCCGCCTCCGGCCGCGCAGTGCTCTCCCAGCGCAGGCAGTCCAGGCGGTGGAAAGCCCCGATTCTGGCTGGGCGTGGGAAGACCAGCCCAGGCCTGGTGCAGAAAGGGCCTTTTCCTGCCGCGCTGACTTGGAAAGAGGCGCGACGGGTTAGTTCAAAGCCGGGAGGTGAGCAGACGCTGCTGGCTTGTTACACGTGACGGGGTCACGCGTGGCCGGTCTGCTGGAGCCTTTCACACGGCGCACGTTGGCCTGGTTACAGGAACGATCTGGGGCTTTGGGCCCTGCGTGCGGCTGAGTCTTGTGAAGGGAACACACTGCAGCTGGCCCCCATAAAACACGTCTCATGGGGGGGCCCGATTGCCTTCTAGACCCCCCCACGGTCACAAGCCAGCCCGGGGTGCAGCCCCCTGGGGCAGGGCGAGGAGACCAGCAGGGCTCAAGGGGAACCCAGCCGGGACTGACCGGGCCCCAGGATCCCAGCACTACGAAGCTCAGGGCCTTGGGTCCCTCTGCCAGCAGTCCGAGGCCCCTTGCGTCGCTCCCTCGCCCCGCCCGCCCCACGCCGCTGGCCCAGCCCTCACCTTCGCCCCAGGCCCGGCGCTGCAGCCAGCACCCTCCGTCCAGAGAGCCCCAGGCCTGGGGCCGCTCTTGGAAGGGAGCAGCACCACCCTGCCCTCTGCTGGGAGCCGGCCAAGCCCCGTTCCCCGCACACGGACCACTGGCCCCAGGCTCTGAGCCTCATCCCCAGAGCCATCCTGGGCCCCAGCTCCTCCCAGGCCGCCCTGGGTCTGGCCTCAGCACCAGGCAAGCTGCAGGGAGGGAGGCCCGAGTCTGGCCCAGCATGGGGACGGGAAGGGAGCAGCACCACCCTGCCCTCTGCTGGGAGCCGGCCAAGCCCCGTTCCCCGCACACGGACCACTGGCCCCAGGCTCTGAGCCTCATCCCCAGAGCCATCCTGGGCCCCAGCTCCTCCCAGGCCGCCCTGGGTCTGGCCTCAGCACCAGGCAAGCTGCAGGGAGGGAGGCCCGAGTCTGGCCCAGCATGGGGACGCTGCAAGCCCACAGAACTTGGCCCAGCCCCGGGGCCCTGCTCAGAGCTCTCCCCTCGGGATCCCGGAGCCCATCCCATGGAAACGCCAATGACCGTGCGGTGTGGGGGTGGATTCCCCATGTTCCGCGGAGCCCTTCCGAGAGGTTCTGCCTGGGAGGAGCCGCCCCGCTATGGGGGG